TGGGTCGCTGGCCTTTGTGTGGGTGTGCGTGTACGTGTGTGGGCGCATGTGTCAAGCATGTGTCTGTGAGTGTATGTGCCTGTGGTGGGGAGCGGTGGTGTAGCGGTTAGCGCGCTGCGCTACGAACCTGGCGACCCGAGTTCGATTCCTGCTCACGGCCAACACCGGTGACGATTATCTGAACCGGTCATGGGCCTCCCCTAGGTCGACTCAGCCGCAAATGGGTACCTGGTGCGGTGTGTAAACATCGTCACTGGGAAGACCGGGCGTGGTACTGGCCACCCACTCTCTCGTGTGCTGTGCCGGCCTTTATAGGTGCTCGCTAACAGCACTTGCTCCTACAGTCTGTTAAGGCTATACGGGGGATCTTTGTCTTTGGGGAGCTAACAGCCCTTGCTCCTGCAGTGTGTGCAGGGAATACGGGAGATCCTTGTGTAGTGTCTTCAAAAATTACTCACACCTTCACTTAAAGCTTTCGTGACTGCAGGAATTCTTATTCTTTGGGGCTTTCGGTAAAGTCACGTAGATTTTTTGTCGTTTTATTTGAAGCTATCTACGTGACTTTACCGAAAGACCCAAATAATATTACTCAAACTGACACGTTGCAACAAGTCACCTGCTTACACTCTGTGCAAACCTCATGTTGCAACGCGCGCACCTGTTTGCCCTCCGTTGCACCCGCATAACTGTGCGCGCCACATATTTCTCTCCTCTACACTTGTATTCGTCTTGGGGAGCGGTAGTGCAGCTGGTAACTCGCCGCGCTACGAAACCGTCGACCCGACTTGGATTCCCGCTCATGGCCAACATCACCAGTGACGATTATCTGAATCGGTCCGGGGCCTCCCCTTGGTCGACTCGGCCTCAAATGAGTACCTGGTATGGTGTGTAAACATTGCTACTTGGGAGACAAAGGCGGCCGGGCGTGGGGCTGGCCACCCACCCCCTCGTGTGCTGTGCCGGCCTTTATAGGGTGCTCGCTAACAGCACTTGCTCCTATTGTTAAGACTATAGGGGATCTTTGTGTTTATACTGTGCACGTATGTTATTAGGAGCAGTCGGTTGAGAGGTGGTGCAGTGGTTAGCGCACTCCACTTATCACCACAGTTAACATCATTGTAAAGTGATACCTGAACCAGTCCTGGGACTCCCCAGGGTCGACTCAGCCTTAAATCAGCGCAGTAATGGTGCTGGCCAACCCAATAACTTATCATGTGCTCCAATGCCAGCTTTAATAGTGTCCCACTTAGCCGAAACTTGTCTGTTCAGGCTCTGAAGGTGGGGGGGGGGGGGGCGCTTTGCTGCGTGACCTCATCTATGCACGTTCCCCAGTTTCCGCCACGGTGGTCCTGCCACACGCGGCTTCCAAGGTTACGAGGAGACTTGACGGCTGGCTTGGCGCACCGTGTGGCTGGCACACACACCGCGTGCGGGGATATTAACCACACGTCCCCCGGGGGTAGGGAGGGGGAGGGGGCGGGGGCGGGGGGGGAAGGAGGCGCGCACCGCACGACGATGCCCGCGCCACTGCGGTTCGTACCCAGATCCGAGACCCGTGAAAGGGGAAGCGTTGTTGTACCAGTCCGCGGGTAATTGGAGGGCAGGAGGATATTGCCCCAAAGCTGGACAAATTAAAGGCCGACACCAGTGAAATTGAGCCCCCTTATAGCTCTTATGGTTATTTTACCAGGTATGGCCCATTGAGGTGTGAAGCTCTTTTCAGACGCGACCGAGGCCATAAATAATCGCCGAGCGAGAAGTGGCTTATCGCGTGGAAATATAGAGCAGCCAAATACTTTTTATACGTGTTTATAAATGTGGAGGGGCAAAAACCGGAGGACCCCGAAGCAAAATCCACGCGATCACCGGGAGAATGCGCAAATTCCAAATAAACAGCAGGCGTCAGGGTCCGAATCGAGCCCACGACCTCCTGTATACCAGGCGAGGTAGTTAACATCTCGCCACCACGGCACCCTCATTGAGTTCCTCCAGTCTTGAATACAATGTCACAGAGCAAAGGCGCTTCTGCGGCCGTCTGGAACGCTCTTCCCTCCGATATGAGGATGCCATTCGAGCTGTGCGCTTTTAAATCATCTCGATTGAAAACCCATTTATTTTAGTTTGTTGTCCTTCCCCCGCACCGCCGATTAGCACGGCCGACTACGTACGGTGCAAAGAAAGTTCAACACGCATGCGATGCACAAAGTGAGAAGCTGTCGTGCAGGGTGGGGGGAGCGCGCCCGCTTCTCTCCTGCACGCTCCGTTAACGATCCCAAAACGAATCAAACAAAAAACACACAATCTTGAAAAGTGGGCAGCCGCCTCGAGAGACTGCCAATCATCACCGCCGCTGCGAACCCCCCTCACCCCCCCGTGTGTGCGTCTGTGTGTCCGTCTGTGTGTGCGTCTGTGTGTGTGTTGTCTGTCTTTATTAAGCCTATAGGGGCTGGCGGGGGGGATCTTTGTGTCTTGTGGGGAGCGGTTAGCGCTACGCTGCGCTACGAACCCAACAACCCGGCCAACATCAGTGACGATTACTTGAACCGGACCTGGGCCTCCCCTAGGTCGACTCGGCCTTAATTGAGTACCTGGTGCGATGTGTAAAAACACCGCTACTCGTGGTGCTGGCTTACCCACCCCCTTCGTGTGCCGTTCTGGCCTTCATAGGTGCTCGCTAACAGCACTTGCTCCAACAATCTGTTAAAGGCTACACGGGGGATCCGTTGTCTTTGTGTGTATAATCTGTGCTCACACCCGCTGACGAGCCGGCGCTAATGGAACCAACGCATTGCACGCGGTGCTCAGCAGCGCAGCGCAGTGAACTCCCCGCGTTCATTACGCCCTAATTATCGTTAACGTTCGCTCGCTCGAGAGGACTGCCCCACACCCCCAAACTCACGCGCCCCCCACCCCTCCCTCCCTCCCCCATTCCCCTTCATTGTGCCTCTCGTGTATTCAGTGCACGGGCCACATTGCCCAAGCAGACAGGGAGTGCTGTACCTGCTCTCGGCATTATTAAGAATGTACTTTGGTCACACTCTCCATTCACCCACCTGCCCACCCTTCTTCCCCTTCTGCTCCTTTTCCCCTCGCCTTCCCTTCCCCTTATAAGCAAGTCCGTGCTCCCGCTCGCAGTCCCTGTGGGGTCGTGGCGAGCCCGTGTCTCTCCCTGGTCCCACCAACCCCGTGTGAGCACTGCGTGTGTTGGGCTTTAGCCCAAGGGAATTTCTGTGCCCCCCTTCCGTTGTTGTGTTTCCTTGTGCTCTGTACCGCCGCCGGGCTCTTCGTCAGAATTTTGAAACAAAAATGTTACTTTTGCGATTGCCTCGGCGATGGGTGGATTTTCTTTGGGGGGGTGGAGGGGGAAGGAGGGGGTGGGGGTGCGCGTGTGGGTAGAGGGGGTCTTCGCTGTCAGTAAATGCGATCAGAAATCGTAACATTTTTTCGTGGTTAGATCACGTAAATATAGAGGTGTCGTCAACCCGCCAGCAGCCGACACAGCCAAGGCAGAAAGGTTTGTCACGTCAGCAAAATGTACCAATTAGTTTCGACTTCAGCCCACCGGTGTGTTGGAGAGTAAAATCATTTTACAATTTGAGTACCGTGACATTTCGCTGCTGCTGCTGCTTTTCCACCGAGCATCCTCGGGACATCCACGCGGAGGGGGTCCCCCATCCCCCCCCCCCTCTCGCCGGCAAAAAAAATGATGGTCCCAATGTTTCGCGTCGACGGCGAATTTTGCGATGTTTTGTGCTGGTGGAGTCTGAGAGAGCGCTTCATTGTTCTCGTCTGTCCTCTCCCGGGTTTGGGGGGGGGGTCCTTGCAACCTGGCCACCAGTGGGGTTTGTATATTATATATATATCTTTTGTAACGTCGTTCCATCTCAAACAAAACGCGGTCACGGTACGTCCATTAAAATTGTATAGGCGCCGTGTGTGTGTGTGTAAAATTTTGTACATTTTAATCAGAGGAAATACTGTATTGTGTTCGCATGTGCTGGCAAATAAAACCGGTGTTAAGATGTTCAAACAACAAATAGATACTCATTGCAAGGCATCAAATCTGCATTTGAACGTATTGGCGGTACACCGGCAGTGCACGGTATAAGAACAGCACATTTTTAACCAAAAAATATTTATTGTATTTATTTCCCCTACGATTTGCAATCCCAGGTCAGAAAATCTTGTGGGGTTGTTGGTGCGTCAAAATCGGTTCTTGTGATGTCGAAGCAGTCGGAGGACGAATGTTTACGGAGGGCCTGAACGCGAAGAAGCTTCCCAGTCTGTTGCCGTACAGCGGCACCCGTGCCGATGACGATTGGCTGCTCCGTGTTCCGACTCGTGCCCTACACGGATTTGACTTGTCCTGCCCCAGACGTGGTCGGGCGATGAGGACCAGGTTAGGGTTCGAGAAATACGAGCACTGACCTTTCATAGACAAATTCTGCCTACATTGGAAAACCTTGTCCTTGAATAGCCTTTGGTTGTTCACGAGAGATTTATATTCTTGACCTCATTTATTGTTAACATTACAATAACCCTAACCTAACCCTAACGATCCCAACACTTTACTTGCCGTAAGTCTCGTAAGACTGAATAAAGATTCGAATCGCGTCAAACTTGGTGACAGGGTCAGTTAAAGGCTGATAAACAGATTTGCTGATTAAAATTTTTATTTCAAACTCTTTCTTGAGGACCGCTGTATTATTCTGCACCGGTGTACCGCCGATACGTACATTTACCACACACGCTTGTGGCAAAACATTTCCAGAAAGGTTAAAGCCTATTCTTTTTTTTCATCACTTTAATACTGGCAAAAAATTTCCCATATTGTATGTGCTGAGATTGTTTAAACTTTCCCTTCGCAACGTGACCGTTTCATTGCGAAAGACGTTTGCCGGCGGTGTTTTGTCGTAATTTCTTGCGTCGATGCGAAACACGACCGCGATTCCCCCGTGCATCTTATCCACTGTATCGCGCTGTTTGTTTTTTCGTTGCAGTTCATTTACGACGAGAAGGTCGTCTGGTACGTAACAAATGAAACCCCAATCCCCGTTCCCACAAATTGCCTTCGCTCTTTTACAATCCCGCGGAGGGTCCGTGCCGAGGTTTGCGGCGCGTGAAGCCGGCGCGCACGCAATGCACCCCCGATCAGCGATGCGTTCAATGCAACTTTCCTGCCATTTCCGTGGTGACTTTGCACGCTAGTTTTTTCCTGGCGCTCCCATAACGATGATGGAATTGGTCACGGGCAAACAAAGACAAAGATCATCATCCCTCCCCCACCCCCGTATAGCCTTCACAGACTGTCCAGGCAAATGCTGTTAGCGAGTAGCACCTACGAAGGCCGGCACTGTGGCACACGAGGGAGGGGGTGGGTGGCGAGCACCAAGACGAGAAAACGCACTCGCGCACATGCCGAGGCTTTCCTGCGTTGCAAACGGCATTCATTTAACTCTGACACTACGAAGCAGAACCGTGACGATTCGGCCAAACGCGAGCTGCGTGGCAGCGGTGCTTTCCGTGTCAAAGCGGAGCCACACTGGTGAGCGGCACGCTTTTCGTGTCTCGCGATGACGTCACGAATGTCCGCCATGATTGGAAACCACTCGGGGTGGTTGCGTATCGCAGCGTGATATTGGTATGGATGGTAATTTTATTTTGAAAAAATAATATTGATTTGTTATTGCAATTGTAATGAAAATCAGGGTTGTTGAGCCAGAGGCCCAGAAAAGTCCGGCAGCCGGCAATAAACAGCATAAATTGAAGGTGTAATCGATAAGCGTTAAACATGAATGTGATCTTTTTAAATAATATATATTTAAGGAAAGAGTGGTACGATCATATATTTTTTAATACAAAAATTAATTATTACTTTGTTTCTTCCCAGGTGGGAGGCCGTGATTCTCGTGACCATGTACGTGATTTACATCGTTTTGATGAAGTGAGTGCGCGTACGCCCTTGCGTATATCCCCCTCCGTCACGCAACACACACCGTCCGGGGGGCGTTGTGCACGTTGAAATATAAAGCACCTTTTGCGAGCGATATTTCACGCGTGCAACTCTGCGCGTGTGAGAAGTGCGACCAAGCGCCGCTGGGATTGTCGCCGACACGGCTCGACAAGTGGTGGGCGCACGAGGGTTTTCGTTTACGGCCGGATCTGACCCCCCACACGTGACCCCCCCCCCCCCCCCCGGTTGTGTGCGACGCCGCCCACCAGGTTCAACATGCGCCTCCACGCCTTCTTTTCACGACTCCAAAAGGGCGGCAGGAACACGGCCAACGGGGTGGCCAACAGCAACGAGATGGAGGACGGTAAACTCCACGAGGGTTCCCGCGGCGGCGATTGTCACGGATACGATGATGTGATATAAATTACTTAAACTATTTAAAACATTTACCGGGTAAGGCCCACTGAGCTATGTAGCTCTTTTTCAGAAGTGACCTGGCCGCAAATGGTAGTTCGACGAAGTGGCTTATCACGTGGAAATGTATACCGGCTAAATCCTTTAAACGAGTGTTGATTTAAAATGTAGAAGGGAAAACCCGGAGAAAAATCCACGTGACCACGGGGGGAGAGAGGGACATGCAAACTCCAAATATACAACTGGTGTCAGGGTGGGAATCGAACCCACGACCTCCTGCCTACCAGGCGAGGTAGTTAACATCTCCCAGCCACCGTGGTGACCCTAAATGAGACTCTCACCCCGGTCCCTCGAGTTTTCACATCGTGAATCAAAATCAACTGGAAACAACTCCCTGAGGGGGGTGGTGCTCGCTTTGCGCCCCCGTTCAAACGAATTCACGACCACGGCGTCGACGGGGTTCACACGAGGGTCGCCCAAACTTTGTCGCAGTGTCGCTTGAAAGTTACCCGCGGTAAAACTCCCGACGGGCACCGCTGGCGTTGATCCGCGGGTTGCGTCGCACGGCCGTGCCGTCAACAAAGTCACGTCCCCGTGCATTTCTAATTGGAGGACAACGGCACAGCAAGATTACTGTTGGTGCACGGCAGCCAAAGGAATACATTTTTATTGCTTCCATGCCAAGATTAATTTATCAACCTCAGGTGGCTGTTTCGGGAAGCCCGTAAGAGTGCCGTATGTGTGTGTGCACGCACGCACACACGCACACGTGCGTGCGTGCAAGTGTGTCTTTGGGAGTGTGCATGTCTTTGGGCTGTGGTGGCGCAGTGTCTAGCGCAGCGTGTTCCAAACCTGGCGACCTGAGTTCGATTCCCACGCACAGCTAAAATTGATAGTGGATATCCGAACCAGTCCTGGGCCTCTCCGAGGTCAACTCCGCCTCAAACGAGCACGAGGAATACAGGAGGTGTCTGGGTGTCAAGCTGGCCACTCCACCCCTCTTGTGTGGCCGTACCAGCCTAGGTGCTCGCTCACGAGCGACTCTTGCACCACACGTGGTTATGGCTTATGGGGAGGAATCCAACATGTGCATTGTCGTTATCTTCTAGCATGTACGCCTGTTGTTCTCTTTTAGCCCCGCCCCCTCCCAATACGTTCCATTCATTGGCTACCACATTCAGATAAGCCCCTCCCCCTCTCCTCCTCCCTTAACTTGTATTTAAGAACTTGTATCTTGGCATTTTTGCCTCACTTGATACAGTAAATCTAGCTGTGACGGTCCCACCTGATGACGGAGACTTGTGTTGCCTCCGAAACGTCGTGATTTATTATTTTATTTTTATTATTATTTGTATAATTTTTATTTTATTACTTATTTTTACCTACGTGACTTTACCGAAAAAACCTAAAAGTATGAATCCGTTGTTAAATTTATTTCTTTGTTTTGTTCGACACATTGCGGTTGAAAGAGTCGAGCGCTCTGTTGAGGCCTTCACCTTGAAGGGTTGTTGCAGGCACAGTTGCCATCAGGGGGTCCCTCAGGCCAAAATTACATCGAGAATAATTGGGATGAGATAAAGGCACTTCGAGTTGCCGGAGCATTTAAGAGTGCAGCACGTGTAAATATCGATGTAAATGTAATTCTGTTGTTTTTGTTGTGTCTGTGCGGTGTGTGTGGTGTGTGGTTGTGTGCGTCGTGGTGTCGCCGTGGTCCAGTGAACCCGAACCACGTGGCGGACATGTGCCGCAGCACCTCGGTGCTCATGGTGGACGAGCTGCTCTCCGTGTGTCCACACAAGCTGGACTTCTCGGAGGCCGGGCTCCGCATCATGATCACCAACCACTTCCGGCCGCGCACGCGCCTCCGCATGGCCAGCCGCATGCTCATCAATGAGGTGACGGCTCCCTGATTCCCGCTAGCCCCATACTACTAGCCCACTCCTGCATCCTGCTAGTCCATCCACTACCCACTCCTCCATCCACTAGCCCACTCCTCCATCCACTAGCCCACTCCTCCATCCACTACCCACTCCTCCATCCACTACCCACTCCTCCATCCACTACACACTCCTCCATCCACTACCCACTCCTCCATCCACTACCCACTCCTCCATCCACTACCCACTCCTCCATCCACTAGCCACTCCTCCATCCACTACCCACTCCTCCATCCACTACCCACTCCTCCATCCACTACCCACTCCTCCATCCACTAGCCCACTCCTCCATCCACTACCCACTCCTCCATCCACTACCCACTCCTCCATCCACTACCCACTCCTCCATCCACTACCCACTCCTCCATCCACTACCCACTCCTCCATCCACTAGCCACTCCTCCATCCACTACCCACTCCTCCATCCACTACCCACTCCTCCATCCACTAGCCACTCCTCCATCCACTAGCCCACTCCTCCATCCACGACCCACTCCTCCATCCACTAACCACTCCTCCATCCACTACCCACTCCTCCATCCACTAGCCCACTCCTCCATCCACTACCCACTCCTCCATTCACTAGCCACTCCTCCATCCACTAGCCCACTCCTCCATTCACTAGCCACTCCTCCATCCACTACCCACTCCTCCATCCACTACCCACTCCTCCATCCACTAGCCCACTCCTCCATTCACTAGCCACTCCTCCATCCACTACCCACTCCTCCATCCACTACCCACTCTCCATCCTACCACTCCTCCACTACCCACTCCTCCATCCACTACCCACTCCTCCATCCACTACCCACTCCTCCATCCACTAGCCACTCCTCCATCCACTACCCACTCCTCCATCCACTACCCACTCCTCCATTCACTACCCACTCCTCCATCCACTACCCACTCCTCCATTCACTACCCACTCCTCCATTCACTACCCACTCCTCCATCCACTACCCACTCCTCCATCCACTACCCACTCCTCCATCCACTACCCACTCCTCCATTCACTACCCACTCCTCCATCCACTACCCACTCCTCCATCCACTACCCACTCCTCCATCCACTAGCCACTCCTCCATCCACTACCCACTCCTCCATCCACTACCCACTCCTCCATTCACTAGCCACTCCTCCATCCACTAGCCCACTCCTGCATCCACTACCCACTCCTCCATCCACTACCCACTCCTCCATCCACTAGCCCACTCCTCCATCCACTACCCACTCCTCCATCCACTAGCCCACTCCTCCATCCACTAGCCCACTCCTCCATCCACTAGCCACTCCTCCATCCACTACCCACTCCTCCATTCACTAGCCACTCCTCCATCCACTAGCCACTCCTCCATCCACTACCCACTCCTCCATTCACTAGCCACTCCTCCATCCACTAGCCCACTCCTCCATCCACTACCCACTCCTCCATCCACTACCCACTCCTCCATCCACTACCCACTCCTCCATCCACTACCCACTCCTCCATTCACTACCCACTCCTCCATTCACTACCCACTCCTCCATCCACTACCCACTCCTCCATTCACTAGCCACTCCTCCATCCACTAGCCCACTCCTCCATCCACTACCCACTCCTCCATCCACTACCCACTCCTCCATCCACTACCCACTCCTCCATCCACTACCCACTCCTCCATTCACTACCCACTCCTCCATTCACTACCCACTCCTCCATCCACTACCCACTCCTCCATCCACTACCCACTCCTCCATCCACTACCCACTCCTCCATCCACTACCCACTCCTCCATTCACTAGCCACTCCTCCATCCACTAGCCCACTCCTCCATCCACTAGCCACTCCTCCATTCACTAGCCACTCCTCCATCCACTAGCCCACTCCTCCATCCACTACCCACTCCTCCATCCACTACCCACTCCTCCATCCAGTAGCCCACTCCTCCATCCACTACCCACTCCTCCATCCACTAGCCACTCCTCCATTCACTAGCCACTCCTCCATCCACTACCCACTCCTCCATCTACTACCCACTCCTCCATCCACTAGCCCACTCCTCCATCCACTACCCACTCCTCCATTCACTAGCCACTCCTCCATCCACTAGCCCACTCCTCCATCCACTACCCACTCCTCCATCCACTACCCACTCCTCCATTCACTAGCCCACTCCTCCATCCACTAGCCCACTCCTCCATCCACTACCCACTCCTCCATCCACTACCCACTCCTCCATCCACTACCCACTCCTCCATCCACTACCCACTCCTCCATTCACTACCCACTCCTCCATTCACTACCCACTCCTCCATCCACTACCCACTCCTCCATTCACTAGCCACTCCTCCATCCACTACCCACTCCTCCATCCACTACCCCACTCCTCCATCCACTACCCACTCCTCCATTCACTAGCCACTCCTCCATCCACTAGCCCACTCCTCCATCCACTAGCCACTCCTCCATCCACTACCCACTCCTCCATCCACTACCCACTCCTCCATCCACTAGCCCACTCCTCCATCCACTACCCACTCCTCCATCCACTAGCCCACTCCTCCATCCACTAGCCCACTCCTCCATCCACTAGCCACTCCTCCATTCACTAGCCACTCCTCCATCCACTAGCCCACTCCTCCATCCACTACCCACTCCTCCATCCACTACCCACTCCTCCATCCACTAGCCCACTCCTCCATCCACTACCCACTCCTCCATTCACTAGCCACTCCTCCATCCACTACCTACTCCTCCATCCACTACCCACTCCTCCATCCACTACCCACTCCTCCATCCACTAGCCCACTCCTCCATCCACTAGCCCACTCCTCCATCCACTACCCACTCCTCCATCCACTACCCACTCCTCCATCCACTACCCACTCCTCCATCCACTAGCCCACTCCTCCATCCACTAGCCCACTCCTCCATCCACTAGCCACTCCTCCATTCACTAGCCCACTCCTCCATCCACTACCCACTCCTCCATCTACTACCCACTCCTCCATCCACTACCCACTCCTCCATCCACTAGCCCACTCCTCCATCCACTACCCACTCCTCCATCCACTACCCACTCCTCCATCCACTAGCCACTCCTCCATCCACTACCCACTCCTCCATCCACTAGCCACTCCTCCATCCACTACCCACTCCTCCATCCACTAGCCCACTCCTCCATCCACTACCCACTCCTCCATCCACTACCCACTCCTCCATCCACTAGCCCACTCCTCCATCCACTACCCACTCCTCCATCCACTAGCCACTCCTCCATCCACTAGCCACTCCTCCATCCACTAGCCACTCCTCCATCCACTAGCCACTCCTCCATCCACTACCCACTCCTCCATCCACTACCCACTCCTCCATCCACTACCCACTCCTCCATCCACTAGCCACTCCTCCATCCACTAGCCCACTCCTCCATCCACTACCCACTCCTCCATCTACTACCCACTCCTCCATCCACTACCCACTCCTCCATCCACTACCCACTCCTCCATCCACTAGCCCACTCCTCCATCCACTACCCACTCCTCCATCCACTACCCACTCCTCCATTCACTACCCACTCCTCCATTAACTACCCACTCCTCCATCCACTACCCACTCCTCCATCCACTACCCACTCCTCCATCCACTACCCACTCCTCCATCCACTACCCACTCCTCCATCCACTACCCACTCCTCCATTCACTACCCACTCCTCCATCCACTAGCCACTCCTCCATCCACTACCCACTCCTCCATCCACGAGCCGACTCCTCCATTCACTAGCCACTCCTCCATCCACTAGCCACTCCTTCATCCACTACCCACTCCTTCATCCACTACCCACTCCTCCATCCACTAGCCCACTGCTCAATCCACTACCCACTCCTCCATCCACTACCCACTCCTCCATCCACTAGCCCACTCCTCCATCCACTACCCACTCCCCCATCCACTACCCACTCCTCCATTCACTAGCCACTCCCCCATCCACTACCCACTCCTCCATCCACTAGCCCACTCCTCCATTCACTAGCCACTCCTCCATCCACTAGCCCACTCCTCCATCCACTACCCACTCCTCCATCCACTACCCACTCCTCCATCCACTAGCCCACTCCTCCATCCACTACCCACTCCTCCATCCACTAGCCACTCCTCCATCCACTACCCACTCCCCCATCCACTACCCACTCCTCCATCCACTACCCACTCCTCCATCCACTACCCACTCCTCCATCCACTACCCACTCCTCCATCCACTACCCACTCCTCCATCCACTACCCACTCCTCCATCCACTACCCACTCCTCCATCCACTAGCCACTCCTCCATCCACTAGCCCACTCCTCCATCCACTACCCACTCCCCCATCCACTACCCACTCCTCCATCCACTATCCACTCCTCCATCCACTACCCACTCCCCCATCCACTAGCCACTCCTCCATCCACTACCCACTCCTCCATCCACTAGCCCACTCCTCCATCCACTACCCACTCCCCCATCCACTACCCACTCCTCCATCCACTACCCACTCCTCCATCCACTACCCACTCCTCCATCCACTACCCACTCCTCCATCCACTACCCACTCCTCCATCCACTACCCACTCCTCCATCCACTAGCCCACTCCTCCTTCCACTACCCACTCCCCCATCCACTACCCACTCCTCCATCCACTACCCACTCCTCCATCCACTAGCCACTCCTCCATCCACTACCCACTCCTCCATTCACTAGCCACTCCTCCATCCACTAGCCACTCCTCCATCCACTACCCACTCCTCCATCCACTACCCACTCCTCCATCCACTAGCCACTCCTCCATCCACTACCCACTCCTCCATTCACTAGCCACTCCTCCATCCACTAGCCACTCCTCCATCCACTACCCACTCCTCCATCCACTAGCCACTCCTCCATCTACTACCCACTCCTCCATCCACTAGCCCACTCCTCCATGCACTACCCACTCCTCCATCCACTACCCACTCCTCCATCCACTAGCCACTCCTCCATCCACTACCCACTCCTCCATCCACTACCCACTCCTCCATCCACTAGCCCACTCCTCCATCCACTACCCACTCCTCCATCCACTACCCACTCCTCCATCCACTACCCACTCCTCCATCCACTACCCACTCCTCCATCCACTAGCCACTCCTCCATCCACTACCCACTCCTCCATCCACTACCCACTCCTCCATCCACTACCCACTCCTCCATCTACTACCCACTCCTCCATCCACTACCCACTCCTCCATCCACTACCCACTCCTCCATCCACTACCCACTCCTCCATCCACTACCCACTCCTCCATCCACTACCCACTCCTCCATCCACTAGCCACTCCTCCATCCACTACCCACTCCTCCATCCACTAGCCACTCCTCCATCTACTACCCACTCCTCCATCCACTAGCCCACTCCTCCATCCACTACCCACTCCTCCATCCACTACCCACTCCTCCATCCACTAGCCACTCCTCCATCCACTACCCACTCCTCCATCCACTAGCCACTCCTCCATCCACTAGCCACTCCTCCATCCACTACCCACTCCTCCATCCACTACCCACTCCTCCATCCACTACCCACTCCTCCATCCACTAGCCACTCCTCCATCCACTACCCACTCCTCCATCCACTACCCACTCCTCCATCCACTAGCCACTCCTCCATCCACTACCCACTCCTCCATCCACTACCCACTCCTCCATCCACTAGCCCACTCCTCCCTCCCGCTAGCTCACTCTATCCACCAACTCTGTAGTGCAGACAAACTCAGGATGGGGGCTAGTCAGAGACGAACTCTAAACCAACGTTAAACGCTGAACAGAACAAGCAACGATGCTATCTGCTTTTGTACGTCGTACATTCTCCTCGTGTGTATGTGTGTATAGATGAATATCCACACACAGGGGGTGTGTATATATAGAGAGATGCATATACCCACACACACACAGGCCCTATGTGTGTATGAGGCTGGATATGGTGATGGGTGTCTACCGAACGGGGCAAAGTTTGAATAAAACCCGAACGTGGCAGTACACGTTGGCCCAACTTGCGTTGACCGGACTATAACAATTTATCCATAATAGAGATTTTTTTTTGGGTTAGATCACGTACCGGTAAATATATAAATGTGTCGTTAAACCCGCCACCACCCGACACAGCCAACTAGTAAGGGTTGTCACGTAAACAGAACGTGGCCAATTCGTCACTAGTACAGCACACCGGTGTGTTGGAGAGTGCACAAGTGTGGTCACCACATCTACGCCTCTATATAAGGAATGAAACCGGAGGATTTCTCCACAAATCTGGCTGTCGCCTGATGAAGCTGGTTGTTATTACTGGCGAAACGCCGTACTCGGTTTTAAAATTTTGTGGCTGGGCTCTCCAACACACCGGTTAGTGCTGTACTAGTGACTAATTGCCCACCTTCTGTTTATGTGACAACCCTTACTAGTTGGCTGTATCGGGTGGTGGTGGGTTTAACGACACATTTATATATTCATGCAATCTAACCCAAAAAACCTCTATTATGGCTGATATTGGTTGTGAAAGCCTGCTACTACACATTATAATAATTTAGGCTGTGGGGGGGGGGGGGTTCGTATCTCCCCAATCCTCCCCCCCCTCCCCCATCGACGGGGCTGCCGTCCACTTCCCCACTGCTCCATCCGGCACACAAAGGGGGCATTGTCGCCTCCACAGCTGTTGCTGGCATTCGTCTTCTATTCAGACGTCCGCTCAATTAGCATTTTGGTCTTTTTACAAACCCGCATTTGCCATCATGTACAGATGTAATGCCTCTATTTTAGTGGTGTTTTTTAGTGTGTGCGTGTGTGTGCGTGTGCGGGGAGAGGTCGCGTAGCGGTTAGCGTGCCGCGCTACGAACCCGGCGACCCGAGTTTGATTCCTGCCCACAGCCACCAACACCCGTGACGATTATCTGAACTGGTCACGGCCGGCCGGGCGTGGTGCTGGCCACCCACTCCGTCGTGCGCCGTACCGGCCTGCATAGGTGCTCCTCGCAAAACAGCACTTGCCCCGAAAAGTTTGCTACGGCTACACGGGGGATCTTTGTCTTTTTTGTCACTGCAACCGAGGCCCCGTCACAATTCGCGTTGCTGTGTGCGTACGTGTGTGTGTTGAACTTCTTTCGCACCGTACGTAGCCAACCGTGCTAATCGGAGGTGCGTGAGAAGGATAACACTAAACAACAAAAAAGCAGTTGTGAAGAAATTAGTTTGTCAACTTAGATGATTTTAAAGTGGCTTCCGAATATCGGAAGGAGAGAGCGTTACCAGATGACCACAGAAGCGCATCTGGAAGCGTGCGATGCGGTGAGCGCACGTCTTTGTTCGATGGCTAGCCAAAAGCCTGCTGCTTTCTTTGAGCATGACCGGCGTTCGCGTGATGATGGCTTATGCTCCTTGACGAGATCAGCAAGGTGTTGTGGTTCATTTGTGGCAAGAACTTTGTGTGTCATGAGCGTGACCTCATGGGTCAAAGTTCACAGCGATTACACAGCCATGCTCGTGCCCGATAGCAGCTGCTCACCATCATCATCACCATCATGAGCCACGCTCTGTTCACCGCTGGATGAATGAAGCCCCCCCCCTCCCCCCCCCACATGCGATGCCACAATCCATCTCCCATACTGGAGTGATCGCACCATTCCGTGTCTAGGGTGTACATCCTGTAGGGTGCGTTCCTGTCACAGCTGGCATTCCATCAGTCTCGCCCGTCCGCCATTGTCATTGCTTCTAGCTGTGTGTCCTGGCCAATGCCTCGACCTTGCTTTCGTGAACAGTCAAATGAAGAGATCTCTCCAGCACGTGTTCTCTGCTCCATGTGTCCCCCTCTCTCTCTGTCCCAGTGTCACACCAAACATGCTTCTCACAATTATTTTTTGTCCACTCCTCAGCTTTAGGGCGCCACGGTGGCTAGGAGATGTTAACTACCTCGCCTGGTATGCAGGAGGTCGTGGGTTCGATCCCTATCCTGACGCCTGCTGCGTATTTTTGATTTTGCGTGGCTCTTTTCAAGTGGTCGTGTGGATTTTCTCCGGTTCCTCTGGTTTTCCCTCTCTATTTAGAAACAGTTGTTTTGACTGTTTGATTGCTATCAATGATAAGCCCACTTCGTTGAGCTATCATTTATTGCCAGGTCACTTCTGAAAAAGAGCTACATGGCTCAGTGGGCCTCACCTGGTAAAATATTCTATATTTATATAAGTAATAGTTTTCCGTTCCTTATTCTTGGCCAGTGTCAACGTTCCTGGTCCGTACGTCAGGGCTGGTGACCCGTGCCTGCCCCTATTAGCAAGCGGCGCGTGTTGTGCTTGGCGGTGATCGCTGGCAACCGCATCGCGTGGATTGTGGCATCGCAGGGCCGTGCCGGAATGTTGCAGCCATGGTCTCCTCGCTGCTGGATGAAGGCCTCCAGCAGTGGATGGAAAATGGTGGCTGCTGCTGATGAAAATGAACAGCTGGGTTGTAACAAACACGTCTACCATTAACCATCACGTTAGTTTGTTTTGTGCTTTCCACGCACATCCAATTAGCACAGCTGGCTACGTACGGTGCGAAAGAAGTTCAACATACACCCATGCACTCATCGTCGGTGGGTGATACTCCTACGGTGCTGTCCCCATGTCCAGAAGTCCCCAGTTGTCGGCGACGCCTCTGCTCGTGTGCGTCCGTCCGTGCGACGACTCAACTCGCCGGCAGTACACCCTGAGTGCCGCGCGTGTGTCCCCCCCCCCCCCCCCCCCGACCGAGCAGAGGCAGCGGCTGCTGCGCGGGCGCGGAGTCGCCTGCAGCGAGTGCGAGGTCGCCCACAAGATCCAGCGCAAGTACCGCTCGGGCGCCAACTGCGAGCGGCGGCGGCGACGCCGCTGGCGGGCACCACCGCTGCGGCGGCGAACAACGGCAGTGGCGGCGACGCGGAGAACGGCGCCGTCTCGCCGGGGGGAGCGGTGGTGGCGGCGGCGGCGGAGGTGACGGTGGCGGCCGTGGGCAACGACGGGCGGACGAAAGACGGCCCGGGGAAGGAGGGCCCAGGGAAGGAGGGCGCGGGAAAGAGGGCGCGGGCTGCGAGGAGGAGGAGGAGGACGACGAGGGAGTGTCCTCGCCGTGCGTTGTGCCCGGTGAGCGATGCGATCGTGCGGTGTGACGCGGTGCGGTGACGCGGAGCGACGCGGTGTGATGCGGTGCATCGTGATGCGGTGTGACAGAGCGGAGGTGATGTTTGCAACCGCAGTTTTGGGCGTGTGGTTTAAGTCTGTGGATCTCTATGTGAATATGTCGATCTTTACGTGAGTCTGTGCATCTCGATGTATGGACGGTGGATGTGACTCGAGAAAAGGCAGGGAGTAGAATGATGTGGAGAGACAGAATGTGAGCAGTAATGAAACTCGTGGCTTAGAAGCAGGAGGGTGAGGCTAATCTTTCACAATAAATGTCTTCCACCCATTAGGGCGAAACCACATTTGTACTCGTAGCCGGATAAGGAACGAGCCAATTAAGCGTGGATGTCGGTAGCCATGCAGTGCTTTAATTGACAGGAAAATGTAATAATTGGCTGTTTCTCATTAATTATTCATGCGTTTTATATTTCCTAATATATTGCAAGAATTGCGCTCCAGCCAATAAACCTGCGTTCACCGTCCGTGTGTAGCACGGGAGCAGGTTAATTCAATGAAGCTGTTTCGCTTTGCATAAAAAACAATGCCGAAGAGATTTTCTGCTCTCCGTGAGCAGCGCCGGTGGCTCCATTAACGATATGTCAGGTCAAAATAACATCCCTCGCTCCGATGAGGCAAGTTTATCCGAAGGACGGCCACTGTTGACTTCCCCCTTCACAAATTGGTACTCGCTTTATAGTCAACAACACCAACCGGGATTTGAACTCCACGGCCTTCCGAATGGCGAGCTGCTCGCTCTGCCGCTGAGCCACCGTCGGCCGCATCTAAGCCGCCGGAAGTGGTTCGCAAAAATTCACTTCATCCTCGAGGTCTTTTTGAAGGCTGGGGGGGGCGGGGGGCGGGAGGGAGGGAAAGAGGCGGTGGATAAATTGGGACCTGCGGTGTGGCGCTTGCTTCACCTGCAGCGGAGAGAAAGATTGCTTTTGAGAAGAAGCACGCCAATTAAGGGACGGGGATGTTCAATGTGAACGCAACGTTCCGTGATCGTCATCAGAGGCCCCTTTGCTGCATGCGTTCCCAGGTCCGTCTGATTTATTTTTTTACTTGGAAAAAAAATTGGGGGGGGGGGGGGGCGGGGGGAGGGGATTATTCCAACTGGACAGGGACGTAACACCTTCCCCCGATGATGTTCATCGCCCGTTTCTTCTCCAGCATCCAGCAAGCAGCAGCCGTGCTGGTGAAGTTGAATGAAGGGTCACCAGGATACGGTGGTACCACGGTGTCGAAAAGCAAACGCAATCGTGAAGAGTTCTGAATAAACGTGTCCAACGTAGTATTATCCATTAGGCAACTTCAAGCAAGCCTAGGCTATTGTAGAAGGTCATGTATGGACTTGTAGAAGGGCATGTGTATACTATTGTAGAAGGTCACGTATAGACTATTATAGGAGGTCATACGTAATCCATTGTGGAAGATCATATATAGACTTGTAGAAGGGCATGTGTATACTATTGTTGAAGATCATTCATAGACTATTCTAGAAGGTCATGTGTAGACTATTGCAGGTCATCAACAGTGGTTCCGTAGCGGCCAGGGGTCTCTGTGTGGCCAACCTCCCCTCCTACACCTGGGGCCAACGTGACCACCACCACAACCACCACCACAACCACCACCACCCACTCTGTCGTCTTAGTGGGGGGGCGGGAGGGGCAGAGGGGGCCTCCAATTCGCGCTGCCGATGAAAACGTCTGTCGTCTCGTCTCGGCAAGATGAGCGGACGATAATAATAATAATAATTATGGCTACTAATGAATACGTTAATTATCGTGTGGCCGACAGCATGTGCAGCTGTGGCCTGTTGTAGGTTGTTACAGTTGCCATGAGGGGCGAGTGTCAGTTGAGCGATGGAGTCAACATCAGGTCTGAGCGAACCTCTGCTCTGAGTGAGCCTCTGCTCTGAGCGAGCCTCTGCTCTGAGCGAGCCTCTGCTCTGATTGAATCTCTGCTTGTATGCTGGAGGTGCAGGAAAGCACAAAGACGCGCACACACACGCACACACGAGGTGCGATTACAAACACACCATGGCCCCTCTGAAAACCGATATCGTATCTTGAAACATTACGTCGATTGTGTGTGTATATATAGGAGGCTGCCACAACACTGCGTTTACAGATCTCAGCCGCTGTGGTGTCCGAGTTGGCAGCCACCGAACGAAAATTGTCCTAAATGTCATTAATTTGCAGCTTAACTAGAGGCAGCAGGCATGCAATTTCCCCCAACATCTGGTAATGCAAAGCACTCTTTGGTTTAAATTCCATGTCCACTCGACGTCAATGCGAATTAAATTATTATCGCGTAAAATAATAAAATCATGAAATCCATTCCAAGCCAAAGTCCAGTTGTAAGCCCGTTGAGGTTCGCTAACTCGTTTCAAAGCGAGAGCTTTAGAACCATCGTTACGTAGAGCCAGCTATCGATGCTTCTACACTTTAGGAATCAACATCCAACATGTTGTTTCCTAAAGTTGGCTACCCCCTCGTGTACCAAGGCCTCTGTCCACCCGGCGGAAGATTCATTCTCCACAGTTGCTTCACCTGCGGGTCGCGTGTGGTGGTGTAAAGTATGGGTACTCCCCATCTCTTCCAAGACGTCTTGGCAGCATGGAAGAGTAGGCCAAATCCCCTCTAGAGCCCCCTCTAGCGGAGGCCCTTCTGCCAGCAGTGACGTGAACGAGCAGTTGCAGGGTCTGTGCCTTTACCTCCAACCGGCATTCGCTGGTGAACTTTAGCGAAATATTTTTGATTTACTTTTCTGCACGACCGCGTAGACTTTTGATAATCCTCCCAAGGACATCAGCAACAACGAGGAATGGGGACCGGTTGCCTTGGCGCAAGCTGTCTGTGACGAGCAAGCGGAACGCCGGGCTGTCCTCTCGCACGTCGTCTCTCTTACGCGAGCGTGAACGTGTGGGGGGGGGGGGCGGGTGGGCTGGGTGGGGGGGGTGGGGGGTTTGGGGGCCCATTAATCACGGCGGCTTGCGGAAGAGGGGGCCGCCGTCGACGCTCCGTTCGGTGCTCGTATCTCGGCCGCCCGCGCAACGCTCCTTGTAGACTCGACGCGCGCGTTCCACTCCGCTGGCTTCGTTTCTCCCCAGATGCCCCCCACCCACCACCACTACCCCACTACACCCGCCCCCCCCCCCCCCCCCCCCCCCCCCCCCCACCTTCCTGGGAAAACTACGCAACTCGGGGGGCATGACGGTCAATTGCCCCCGGCACCGACAAATGACGTGGCGATGGCCTCATTTAAACGAAACCATTACCGGCTAAAAAAAAAAAAAACCTCTTCTGTTTCCCAAACGGCCGCCGACACAAACGGCGATGTCATCTCTGACGCGGGACGAGTGTCTGCGGTGACCGCATTGTCACGCTCCGGTTGTACGGCGCTCGCTCTCCGCCACCCCGCGGTCAACCCGCTGCTGGATTGGACGGCCTTCCCATGCCGTACGGTGCCGCTGGCTGGAACTCGTCTCAGGACGTCTTAACTCCCTTGAAGCCCTCTCGTCGTGGCCAGAAAAACCTCAACATTGGCGTTGAGCTCCTGAACGTATCTGCCATCGTACGCAAGAAGAGCGCACAATTTAGCCGCACTTAGCCAGGCTGCCGAGTGCGGGTTGGTGAAGGCGTGGAGCTACGGCTTGCAGGAAGGGTCTCCGCTAGAGGGGGCTCTAGAAAGCCCCTCCAGAGAGGGTATTTGGCCTACTCTTCCACACTTGACCCCAGCAGGTAAAGGTGCAGCTCGCTCACACCGACTGTTTGCACTTGCTCGAGGGAGCCTCTGCAGGGAGGGTATTTGGTCTACTCTTCCACACTTGACCCCACCGCACGCGAACCTGCTGAACGGCTCGGTGGTGCAACATTTAGACTGCCCCATTGTCTCCACTGCCACGCCGGGAGATCCAACCGGCGAATTGTCGATTGCAAGTCCACTGTGTGAACTACCGCACCACGGCAGCATCCTCGTCTGCATAAGCCACGCAATCGCCCAGCTCGGGAGCAAGTGGCTTTATTGAGTGCGTGTTGTTGTTTTGAATGTGCTGTTCGACGCACTGTTCGATGTGCTGTTCCATGCGTCGTTCGACATGCTGTCCGACGCGATCTTCGATGCGCTGTAGTTCCATGAGCTGTTGTTCCATGCGCTGTTCAATACACTGTTTGACACGTTGTTCCACACGCTCTTCCGTGTGTTCCGTGCGCTGTTGCGTGTGCTGTTCCGTGCGCTGTTCCGTGCGCTGTTCCATGCACTGTCTTGTGCGCTGTTCCACGCGCTGTTCGAAACGCCATCGCTGTGCCGCTTGACGGGGTGCCGTTCCCCCCGCGGCGTCGCGTGCAGACGGCCACCTGGCCCGCTTCAAGTGGCTGGTGTCGTGGCCGCTGGCGCTGCTGCTCTACCTGACGGTGCCCAACGTGGCCCAGCCGCGCTGGGAGAGCTGGTTCATGGCCACCTTCATCCTGTCCACGCTCTGGATCGCGATCTTCTCCTACGTCATGGTCTGGATGGTGAGTCGACCGCAAGCTCCAGCGGCGCATGCAGGCCGCCAACAGCGTCTCGGGGAAGCGCGGCGTCCCCCTGTGGGGGGCCGCCCCTTCTTCGCAGGTGCTCGCCGATAGCGCTCGCCCCGACGACCATCGCGGCTACCGAGACGGGGAAGGGGGAGTTGACCGCGGCGTGCCCACTGCTCACCCACGGCGGGGTTTGAATGAGAGATGATCCCGGGGGTGGAGTCGTCTTTGCCAAAAAATCGCGTGAAGCTTGAGTCGCCTCCTTGTATTCCGCTTGCTTGGTGCGTGATTTTTTTTCATTTGTATACAAGTGTCCCAATGATCGCGTGAAGCTTATGTAGCTCGCTGACAGCACTCCGCTAGGGCCGTACGGGGGGATCTTTGTCTTTGGTGGTGTTATCACACCGCGCCTGTCCCGTGGTGGGGGAAGGGAGGGAGTGGTGGTGGGGGAGAGGTGGGGGGGGCAAGTGCATCTCGCGCTGCTGACCTCCAGTGCACGAAGTTGGGAATCTCCGGCAGGGGCCGCTTGCTGCGGCGAGGCTCAGCCGGGGGACGTGAGGGAACGCGACGCGGTCCCCGTTCAATTCACGAGCAGAAGGCGTCGCGTTGCCGTGCGGTGGAAACGCAGTGCGTCTCGCCTCTCTCTAATGAGGCCCGTAACTTTCATGGTTATTTATTTGTTGATATCGGCGGTGGTTTCTGTTCTCTGTCTGTCTCCTTGCCCTCCTCCATCTCTCCACTCGTGGATGAAGGTCACCATTATCGGGTACACGCTGGGCATTCCCGACGTCATCATGGGCATCACCTTCCTGGCGGCCGGGACGAGCGTGCCGGACTGCATGGCCAGCCTCATCGTGGCCAGGCAGGGTGAGCGTCGTTGTTGCTCGGCAAGAGTGTGAACTCGCGGCTGCGTCAATGGGGTGCCGCAGTGGCGAGATGTTAACTACCTCGCCTGGTATACAGGAGGTTGTGGGTGCGATTCTAACCCCTTGGCGCCTGTATATTTGGAGTTTGCATGTCACTCTCTCTCCCAGTGGTCACGTGGATTTTTCTCTGGGTGCTCCAGTTTTCCCCCACACATTTAGAATCTACGTGCGTTTCGAGTCTTTGGCTGCTACTGTAAATGTCCGCGTGATAAGCCACTTTTTTTAGCGATTATTTGTGGCCAGGTTGCTTCAGAAAAACAGGAATATAGGCTCAGTGGGCTTTACCAGCCACGGTCAATCCACTGCCTGCCCCAAGCCACCGTCACCTCTGCTAATCCAGCGTCGTGACAATCCGCCCCCGGCACCCCGTGGACACGAGCGAGCCGATTTCGTCGCTCGGCCTTCTCGGTGGAACGTGGTCAACTGTCCGTCGTCACTGTCACCGCCATCGTATCGGTGATCATCGCGAGAAAAGCACACGTTTACATTTTGAATGCCGTGTGGTGATATTTCTGACGATTATCATGGAAAAGCTGGCGATGATGCCGATGCCGACGGTGATGGCGCGAGTCATCTAAACCCTTACTTATCGCAGCACGAGTCGCAAGCGGCACCGGCTATTTGAAACGATACGGCTGTTTAAACTAGAACTTGATTGTGAGCAGACATGTTATATATATATGAAAAAGGACGGCATTACAAAAGCACGGACACGTGAGGCGTAGACATTACATTTGCTGCGACAGTAAGCGGAGGGTGATGAGGGCTGGCGGGCTACGAGGTGGGGTTCCAGCGCGATAATAAATCCCTAATCCCGGCAGAGGGATTGCGGAGATATCTTGTCCTGAGCCATCGTGCAAATGAAAACCGTTGGGAGGACGGTCACGGAACGTACAGCGAACAGAATTTCACAAGCAGCGTGCAAGCCCCCACTCCCCCACCTGGTGCCTCTCTCTCCAGCCCCCCCCCCCCCCCCCCACCAGGCCCCCCCTCCCCCAGCAGGGAGCTGCAGCAGAGGCGAGTGGCAGCAACTGCTGCGTCACGCTGCACAATCACCAGCACCGTGGGAAACTCAAAACAATGTCAAGATCGTACTCGCAGTCCTCTAGACCCTCTGAACTCCTGCCTGCCTTCTCTTTCCTCTGATCTCACTCCACTCCCCTCCACCCACTCTCCTGCCTCTCCCCTCTCATCTCACTCCACTCCCCTCCACACACTCTCCTACCTCACCCCTCTCATCTCACTCCACTCCCCTCCACCCACTCTCCTACCTCTCCCCTCTTATCTCACTCCACTCCCCTCCACCCACTCTCCAACCTCTCCCCTCCCATCTCACCCCAATCCCCTCCATCCACTCTCCTATCTCTCCCCTCTCATCTAACTCTACTCCCCTCCACCCACTCTCCAACCTCACCCCTCTTATCTCACTGCACTCCCCTCCACCCACTCTCCTACCTCACCCCTCTCATCTCACTCTATTCCCCTCCACGCACTCTCCTACCTCTCCCCTCCCATCTCACTCCACTCCATGCACTCTCCTGCATCCCCCTTCACGCAGCGAGAAGTCGCTCATTCTCCTCCACACTCCCCATCATCTTGAACTCGTTTCCCTCTGCCATCCGTGCTGTCGACTCCCCTGCAGATGTCCGTGTGTGAGCTTAACACCAGCCGTTTCTTCTGCCTCTCTCTCTGTCTCTCTCTGTCTTTCTCTCTATACAATACCCCCCCCCCCCCAACTGCTTCCGTGCAACCTCTGGAGATGCGGCCGCATTTTACACGCCGCATAAATCCAAGCTGCTGCGCTGCACCAAAATGAATTCTGATCTCAAAACTGCTCGGAGCAGCATTTTGTGTGAACGCCGCTCTCCTCCCCCGGATCGCTCCGGGGCGGGTGCTGAGGGAGGGGGGCACGAGGGAGGAGGGGGGGGCGGTGGTGGTGGTGGCAGGGGTTGGTAATGTGTAGTTGCTGCCAGAGGTGCCACCTATGATGAGAAGCGCCACATGTGCTCCACTTAGTATGGATTATCTGCCGGCATTCGGAATGGTGTTTTAATACCGCGCGGCGTGTGTGTGTGTGTGTCGCTGTGGGGAGCGGTGGTGTAGCGGTTAGCACGCTGCGCTGTGAACTCGGCGACCCGAGTTCGATTCCCGCTCATGGCCAACACCGGTGAGAATTTTTTTAACCGGTTCTGGGCATCTCCTAGGTCGACTCAGCCTCAAATGAGTACCTGGTGCGGTGAGTAAACATCGCCACTCGGGAGACGAAGGCGGTCGGGCGTGGTGCTGGCCACCCACACCCTCGTGTACCGTTCCAGCCTTCATAGGTGCTCGCTAACAGCACTTGCCCCAGCAGTCTGTTAAGGCTACACGGGGGATCTTTGTCGCTGTGGTGGTGGCGGGTTGGCATGTGTGTGTGTGCACGCATGTGTGTCCCTGCACCGGCCTCCTCCGCTCCCCTTCCCCCCCCCCCCGTCTCTAACCCCCCCCCCCCTTCTCTATCCCTGCTGGCCTACGCCACCACCAACAGGGCTGGGCGACATGGCCGTTTCAAACTCCATCGGGAGCAACGTCTTCGATATCCTCGTGGGCCTCGGCTTCCCCTGGGCCCTGCAGACGCTGGCGGTGAATCACGGCTCCCAGGTGAGAACGAACATCGCTACGGCAACCCTCATGGGGGGCGTCACGGCAACCCTGGGTGGGGGCGCTAAGGCCAGCCTCACGGGAGGGCACTACGGAAAACCAGGTGGGGGGTAGCGGGGGGCGCTATGGCAACCCCGGTAGGGGGGCGCTATGGCAACCCCGGTAGGGGGGTGCTATGGCAACCCCGGTAGGGGGGCGCTATGGCAACCCCCGCGGGGGGGGGGGGCGGCGCTACGGCAACCCCGGTGGGGGCTGAAGGAGACCTCAATGGTAAAAATAATAAAAATCTTCGTCATCATTTATCGCGCCCTGCTCGCACGAGTCTAAAATAAGTCCCCTGGCGCGCCAACGAAATTAAAACGCTAAGCGAGGGGTGCCTCCGTTTAGTGCCTCGCGTCGCCGCTCGTGCCCATCGCTCTCCGCCGCCGCTGCGGTTGCCTGCTCGAGTGATCATTGGGGCATTGGTGGCTCGCCCTCCCGTTTACAGCCCTGCAGAGCCTGCGGTGGAAATTCCACATTACTATGGCATGTGGCGAGTCTTATCTATAGAAAAACAACTGTTGACCTCGCACACCAAGGTGATGCTAATTTTATTGACCCTGGAAGGAGGAGATGATGGGCTGGGTGAACTCCCCAAATCAGGATTTGAACTCGCAGCACCGACTCGCTGTGTTTGTGAAGAGGTGAGAGCTCATTGAAAGCAGCAGAAGCCTCTGTTTGAAGTGAGAAATTGGTAAAAAAAATGAACCCACGATACTAATTAATTTATATCATTAACGCAAGTCCCAACATGTACCGAAAACTATAATTATCAGCAGAGCAGACAGCTCGGCGTTTAATCTGGGTCACGTGCGATGTAACCCACAGACGTTAAATATTATTTCTCCTGGTTCCTCCGGCTTTTCCCTCCACATTTATAAACAAGCGTTTAGAGCATTTGGCCGCGATAAATTTCCACGGGATAAGCCACTTCGTTGAGCTTTCACTTGTGGCCAGGTCGCTTCTGAAAAAGAGCTGCCATAGCTCAGTCGACCTTACTTGGTAAATTAAAATAAAAAATAAATCGTTCGTAATTTAGATTAGCATTCTCGGCTAAAACAGCTGTTCCACACCAGGCGTGACTGCAGGTCCTCTCCGCCCAGGTATTCAGTCTGAGGAGGATGCAGAGGTCGCAACCGGGTACCTGATACCCGTACCCTACCTGATACCCGGCTACCCGTACCCGGCCGGGTACGTGTACCCGTTTGCGACCCTGGTGCGGCCGGGTACGGGTACGGGTAGGCCGTGAGTCACCGGTGAGTAAACCGTTTGTCACTCATTTCGGGTAGGGTACGGGTAGTGTACGGGTACCCGTACCCGGCCGGGTACGGATACGGGTACCCGTTTGCGACCCTGGTGCGGCCGGGTACGGGTACGGGTAAGGAAACAAAACCCATTTGCGACCTCTGGGAGGATGTGAGCCTGGGTGGGCCACGTGGACGTTTGGTGACCCAGGCCCCAACTCCAGCAACTGACGGTCGCCCGGCCACGTTTCCCGCTGAAGCAGGGGCCCCGTGGCCACCAAATCCCGAGACGTCCAAAAGTTCGTTCGAGATGCTACGATGCTTTGAGCCCCAAGCCCCATGTCCGTTGAATTCTGAGATTCCGGAGGAATTGTGCTGAACCGCTGATCGCACGCGCCCGCGTGTCGCGCGCGTGTGTTTTGTGTGTTCGTGTGTCGTGCGCATGCGTTGTGTGCGTGGGTTGTGCGCGCGTGTTGTGCGCACGTGTTGTGCGCACGTGTTGTGCGCGCGTGTTGTGCGCACGTGTTGTGCGCGCGTGTTGTGCGCACGTGTTGTGCGCGCGTGTTGTGCGCACGTGTTGTGCGCGCGTGTTGTGCGCGCGTGTTGTGCGCGCGTGTTGTGCGCACGTGTTGTGCGCACGTGTTGTGCGCACGTGTTGTGCGCACGGGTTGTGCGCACGTGTTGTGTGCGCGTGTTGTGCGCGCCAGGGGAAGATGAAAGCTTTATCCACGATCAGCAATGTGGGGTCGATAGGCGCCGCGCGATGTAAAGTTCCACCCGGACCCTTTAAGGAGCCCCTTGGCCCCAGAACGTCAATAATGTTTCTATAAAAATCCCGCACTGAGCACGTGAAATCCAAGGAGGCTACTTAAGCTTCACGAAGATTTCTGGCAAAGACGATTCCGCGCATTCCACCCCTGGTTTACCCGTGAGCAGTGGCACGCCGCCGTTCACCCCGTCCAATCCCATTAGCCACCATCCTTGTCGGGACACTTCAACACTTCACGAGCAAAGGAAGAGTTTGCAAACGTCGACGGTTAGAAAATGCTCGCGCCCACAGATTTAGAATCCTCTGGTGCCCTCGAAGTTGGCTGTAAGCACAGTTCTCAAATAAATATCAAATCAACACGTTCGTCAATAACACTGTGTGGCCTTAAAAGGAAAAGTATATAATAGGCGACTTTAAGGGCAATGGCCCTTTTTCATAGCATGTGAATTATTTGATGAATGCGGTGTGTTTATTTGTTCATAATGCCTGCGCACCACTGCCAACGCAGCAGCATCACCAAATCATTTGTTTATTTCATTTGTTTATTTGGTGATGGCCTTTGTGTGCTTATATCCAGCTACTGTTCTCCAACAAATAGCTTCAAAATTATTTCCTGCTCTAGGGACCGTTTTTAAGGCGGTGCCCGGATCCGGTGGTGGGAATTCCACATTCCTTTGGCAGGGGCGAGTCTACCTCTAGGATATTCACCGTTGACTTCTTAACCAAGGATGAGAAGTCAACGTCCAACCAGCCGGGATTTGAACTTGCAACCCCCCGATTGCGAGCCGCTTACTCTTGCGCTGAGCCACCTGGCAGGATGCGCGCATGCGTTTCTTTGCATGCATACCTGTGCATGCGTACCTCTGCGTGCGTACCTGTGCACGCTTACCTATGCACGCGTACCTGTGCACGCGTACCTGTGCACGCGTACCTGTGCATGCGCCCCTGTGCGCGCGCGCCTGTGCGTGCAGCGTGTGCGCCTGTGCGTGCAGCGTGTGCTAACCTGTGCACTGCCCTCACGTTTTTGACGCCCACGTGTCTTCAGAGAAGCGTGAGATTAGCTCTGTGGCGACTCCAAGCACAAGTCGCTGTAAGCCGGTGGCTTGGCAGGGGAAATGGAAATGCACTGCTGAGGATCTGTGGCCCTCCTCCCCGCACCCAATTACGGAGCGAGGATGCCACAATTCCTGCATAAATAATGGCGGCGGGGCTGAAACCGGGGGGGGGGGGGGGGAGGTACAGGCAAGGGTTGCATTAAATGAAATGTCTGTGGAGAGAAGCGGAGGTGATGGGTGAGGGAGGTGGTGGTGGGCGGTGTGGCGAGGCTGAGCCGGTGCGTGAGTCATCGTCGCGGGCGTGTTCACCGTGAACTGCTTAGCCTGTGCGCCATTTCGCCATACCATTTTATATATATTTTTATGCATTATGGTATACTTGTTAACCCAGTAAGGCATCTCCCCAAGGCTCGTAACTATTTTTTCAGGAGGGTCCCTGTAGTAGTTGGTGACGATTGCTACGTATCTTCCAAACGAGTAAATTCCAGGGGTTTTTTTTTCCTCCCAGATTCGGCAAATTTTAACCGTGACGGCGGCACGCAGCGGCCTGCCCTTGGGAACGACGTCACGGGATGATAACCTCCCACTGTAAAGCAGACGTCACATAGCCTATATATATTTTTTTTTTTTTACGGTGAGCAAAACAAGGGCGGCCCGGCAAATCCGAACCGGCAACCTCCGCAAACAAAGCGGCGGACGCGCTCCCCCACCGGGCCGTGTTGGCCAGCCCCAAACCGCCGGCAAACACCGCACGGGTGCCAACGGGCAGCCAGTTGACGCGCGTGCGCTAACTGCGGAAGACCGACGCGCACGCCCCGTCGCGAACACCGCGTGCTGCGAAATGTGCGGGGGTTGAGTTTCGATCGTCGCACGGTGGAATTAGCGGAATTGCCGCTGTCGCGGTAGAACGGTCAGCGCCACCCCGTAAATACGCAGGTCGCCCGCTCGATTCCACCTCCCGCCGCGGAGTTTAAAACAACGGTGCAACTTTCCTTAAATCACCGCCCCCCCCCCCTGCTCTCCACCGCCTCTGTCTGCCCAAGCAGCACGAATGGGTTCACCACGGGCTATGGTCGGAAGGTTGTGCCTGCCGGGTTAAAGTGTTTGGTAATCTCGATGGCTCGGACACCGTTCCCAACGACACGCGGTAGAAGGTGAAAATTATTTGGAGAGGAGGGTGCACGGCACGGCCGTGAAAGCCTCTGCTCAACGAGGGCCGTTGCAATATTGGTCTAATATATCTGTTACTGCTATCCGGCAGTGTTAGTAGTGACAGATGTGGTAAATAAAAAACACACGTGATTTCACCCTCAATATCTCCATTTTTACAGTCCCTGTTGAATTTGACGACGAAAACAAATTGTGAAATGAATTACCAATATAGTTTTTTGTCCACATTTTTAAATTGTGTGTATATATATGAATAAAAGCTAAATATCTTCGCTCACAGACCAAACGTAAGGCCCCACTATGAATGCAGCACATCCCATGCCGTCGGCAAAAGTGTTTTTATTGAGCCAGATAATATTCAAGATATGAAGAAATATTGTGTTTGTGAAAGCCATGTATGTCTTCACAATGTTTCCATTTCAAATGTGAAATATGCCGCTTTGCCACTATATCTATTTGTAAAAATGCAGCCCCAGTCTGCTCGTGCAATAATCCATGCTGAAAAAGGCAACATTCACTGCACACAAAACTACTTATTTGGTAAAAAAAATTGTTTTAATGTTTTATGGAATGCCATACCGTTATATTTATATATATTTTACATGTAACGGTCGGCCATAGCATTATCTTTCATCTCGGTCTGATCTTCCACGTACAATTTGGATAATCGTTGCGTTTGATGTCGACTGTTCGTTATTCACCGTTAAATCTCTTTCATGGTGGCAGTGATGTTGGCGGGGGAGTTTCACCTCCCCTTTTGTTTCCTTCTCAGGTGGCCATCAACAGCCGGGGTCTCGTTTACTCCGTCATCCTGCTGTTGGCCTCAGTGTTCATGACGGTGAGTGGCACCCGAATCGCGTCTCAAAAAATAAAATCACGACTTCCAACGGCAAGCGAAAACCCGCTTGCCATCGCGTCGTCTTGCAAATTACGGCCACCAACCATCAACCCCTTACCTTATTACAGACCAATTCAGAACTTATTGGTCACCCCGTGCCCTGATAGAGCTCAACGTTCACCCTATACACTACACTATACACGACACTGTACACTACACTACACATTACACTCCTACACACGACACTATACGCCGCACTACTATACACTACATTATACACTACACTGTCCACTACACTACTACACATTGCACTCTACATTACTATACACTACTATACACGACACTTCTACAGATTACACGATGCACTACACTATACACTACTATACACTATACGACTTCACACTACACTATTCACTGCACTATACAAGACACGACTACACTACCTGTCAACCCCTTACCAGTGCATACCTTACAGACCAATTCAGACCTTATTGGTCTTAAAAATCTCAACGTTCATCCTACAAAGTCCCATATTGAAACGGCCGTAAGAACCTGAAAAACTCAGTTTCCCTGTACAAGAATACGGGTAAACCATATCGGTTGACAAGCTATGCTTTTAAGATCGTGCGTGGAATTGCGCGCACGTTGTTGGCATGCCCAACGCAAAAAAATAACTGGGGCAAATGAATATTTAATACGAAAATTGTAATCACCCTTCATCACTCTCGCTTCATTGCGCGTTGCGTGCTTGTCGGAAGCCTACGACCGAAGTCACCCGGAATGCGCACCCCCCCCCCACCACCATCTCGTCGGATCTCGGCGGCTAAGCAGGCTCGTGCCTGGAGAGTCGCCAGGACGCTCGGCAGAGTTGCGTGTGTTTTTTTTGTACTGTGCCAACGCTCTGACGTTCTGCGCTCACCATTTTGACCAGAGAAGGCCAGTCGGATAACCCCCCCCCCCCCCATGGCCTCGGACCACACGGAGGTGGGGGAGGCCCTCATCCAGCAGTGGATTTGATGAGAGGGTTGTAACGTGCACGTTGCATACGAGGTTTAGAGAATGCTGCGGTGGATAGGCCCGCAATCTACACGGGGCAGCGGGTGAGTGTTGAAATTAAGAATCTCGAGTGATGTAGCATTCCTTGTAAATGATCCCATTAAACTCTGCGAGGCTAGGATTTGAGTGCAGCTTGGCAGGAGCATTGCAGCTGCACTCAGCAGTGTGCATGTGGCCACACACTGAGAGTCTTGCCTTCAAATTTGTGTTGCTGCTATTAATCACGTTATGTCGAAACGAGTTGCGGCCACCCTGAGAATAATTGAAAGTATTTTATTTGGACTTTAAATGTTATTGGTTATAGATTAATTTGGGTTCCCGTAATTTAAAAAATGTGGTTTATGGAAATAAGGGCTGGGCAGGAGGGCTGAACGATTTGGGGAAAATATCTAATTGCGATTTTTCTGACAGATATTGCGATTGCGATTTGATTTGCGATTACATTTTTTTAAAGTCAAGCTTCAGTTTAATATTCACTGTGTAATAGATTTAAAACAAGTGATGGAGCATTACCACATGATACCATCTAAATATGAACTGCTATTCTAATGCAAGGATGAGAACTTAATAGATATGAATTGCTTCCAACATGTATTTATTAAAATGTTTTAATTTAAATAGAACAATCAAACATAGAAAAGTTGTGATGTTAAATCAATTAAGTTATTGTAATAAATAATAAAACTATTCCAACAAGAAAGTAATAGGACTTTCAAATCGCAAAAAATCGCAGCCTTTGCAATTTGCTCATTGCATTATTTCAATAGCATTTTCGATTTCAAATCGATTCATCGTTCAGCCCGAGTGGGCAGGGGAGGGCGAAATGGAGAGTGGCGCGGCGGTGCACTGCACTACGATTTCGGCAACCCGCGTTCGATACCTGGACACGGCTCATCTTAAGGGCAAGTGATATCAGAAACCGTCCTCCTCCCCCCTCCTCCACCAACCTGCACTGACAAGCCTGGCAAAGTGTGCTCAGTCTTCATCCGTTGGTGGATCGAGAATTGGCCGTATTTTATTAATGGTATACATTTTACCTCCTTTGCATGATCAAACGTTTACAATTGTTTTCTTGAATGGGTTGCCAAGTTTCCGTTGTATAAGTGGGGAGTATTTCAATAGGGCCGTATCCTGCAGCTGTAAAACATTGATTCGTTGCTCAAGTGTGATTGCTTACCCACATATAGATCCGTGCAGAATAAAGAACAGACATTTCCTTATCTAACTTTGTGCAATGTTGGCAAATACATTTCACAAGGGGGCACGACCGGGTACCTGGCCGGAGGTCTGGCTGGCTAGTCGCTCTGTGTCGCTGAAGATTTGCTTGTGCGTACGTAAAGAGCTGTGTTGAGACGCAGTAGGCACTGATTAACTGGTGACGAGATGTAAGTCTCCTGGGCTGGTGCACAGGAGGTCGTGGGTTAGATCCCAACTGTTGATACCTGTATATTTGGAGTTTGCGTGTTCTCCCCATGGCTGCGTGTATATTTCTCCGGGTCCTCCAGGTTTTCCCTCCACATTTAGAAACATGCCTTTAGAGTATTTGGCTCCTATAAATTCCCACGTGATAATCCACGTAGTTGAGCTATCATTTGTGGCCAGGTCGCTTCTAAAAAAAAAAGAGCTACATAGCTAAGTGGGCCTTTCCTGGTAAAATAAAATAAAAAGTTTCAGTTTGCACGGTTGGCTATCGAACCATTCCCAGTCTGTAATCTTCTTGGACATGATGGCAGTGATGTGGTTCAGGAGCGAGATGCCAATGTCGAGTTCGTGAAATGTTGCTGTTCCTCCGGCAATGAAGGAGCGCAGACGACAGTGGTTTACTATATGGGCTGCATGGCCACAGTCGCACTACTACTGTGGCTCGTGTTTTTAATTTTCCAGCTATTGAGAGGTGGTAAGCATTGGCCTGTTGTTGATGTTCTGATGTGGTTATGGTGCATTCCCATCATTTTTCACGATTAATATGGATTTTTACGATGCTAAGTTTCTAACTTATTTTGCCGTGCGTGCTTTACTTTAGCCTATTTAATAAAAAAATGTAGTTCAATATTTCGTATCATGATGGGGAAAACAGTACATTGATTTGTAAAAAGTTTGCGCCCCATTTCAAATGAAACCGTGTGCGCGCCATATAAAATGGATGAGTTTTATATGAAAACGTTTCAAATATTGCATTTTCCAGCACAATTTTCGTATATATTTTTCAACAATTTACATTTTTTAAGGATGTGCCGCGTCTTCGTGCGACGCCGCTTTTTTGGACGCTAAAAAGGAAGCGGCGTTTATTGTCGGTGGTGTAATTTCTTGCGACGTGGACAACTTTAGCGAATGTTTGCGAAGTGACGTGTGCAAGGCAAATTTCTGTCTGTGGGAAGCGGTGGTGTCACGGTTAACGCGTTGCGCTATGAGCCCGGTGAACCGAGTTCGATTCCCGCTCGCGGACAACACCGGTGATCATAATTATCTGAATCGGACCTTGGCCTCCCCTCGGTCGACTCAGCCTCAGATGAGTACCTCATGTGCTATGTAAACACGTCGGCTTTCTCGACCAATATCCATAATGTAGTTGTTTTTTTTTTAGGTTAGATCGCGTAAATATGAATGTGTCGTTAAACCCGCCACCGCCTGCCGCCTGATGAAGCTGGTTGTAATAACTGGCGAAACGCCGAACTCAGATTGTAAATTTGGGGATTTGTTCTCCAACACACCGGTGTGCTGTACTCGTACACTACACTATACACTACACTACTACACACTAGTGTTGTATTAGTGACGAATTGTCATGTTCTGTTTACGTGACAATCCTTACTAATTGGCAGTGTCCGGGTGGTGGGGGGTTTAACGACGCATTTATATCGAAGCCAAAAACAAGAAAAACCTCATACTAGTGGTGTGTAAACATCGCCACTTTGGAGATAACGACAGCCAGGCGAGGTGGTGGCCACCCACCACCTCGTGTGCCGTGTCGGCCTTCATGGGTGTTCGCTAACAGCACTTGCCCCAACAGTCTGTTAGGTTTACACGCGGGGGATCTTTGTCTCTTCGTCACAGGTGTCAAATCAGAACGGATAGCGATGTGGGGGGAGACGAGGTCTTAGTGCCGCAAGGACGCCACGTCATGTACAGCAGCGCGCACATTATCAGCTGCTGTCTTCTCCAGAACTGACGATAGGCTTTGATGGCCGTAACGTAGAGATGAGATGGTGAAAGAGGCCGATTTGGAATTCGAGGATCGGTCGTTTGAAACGTGGGAAATGGTACGAGGGAGGACGTTCCTTCGCGAGCCGTCGTGGGCCTTCGTTTCATCAAAAATTGGCGCCGATTTGATTTTCCGCTCTCAAAATAATCCACCCGGAATGTATTCATCTCCTGGCGTACAGTGCACGCAATGCTATCAAGAACTGCGCCCATTGCCTTGTATGTCGGCTAACCGAAGCGCCATCTGATTACTCGGCATGCTCTAATTTTAATATAAAGCGACATAAAAAAAAGAATAAGCTTTGCCCGCTTTTTTATCTCGGTCTAGACTGCGTGCCGTACAATTTTGTGTGCACGTCGAACTTCTTTCGCACCGCACGTAGCCCAACCGTGCTCGTCGTCGGTGCGGGCAAAGGACAAGAAACTTAACACACACGACGCAGCTCTGAAGAAAAATTAGTTCCGCGTTGTGCGAAAAGTTGCTCCCGAATAGAAGAACGGCGTCGTAGCGAGGACGCGTCACGGCGTGAACACCGCCACGCGTGGAGCGAGAGGAGTCGTCGCATTCGATGCATCGGCACCGCCCGCTCGGTGACCCCACAGTGCTCCCTCGTCGTCGTCGTCGTCGTTGTTGACAGCAACTTCCTGCCACCTCCTCTTCAGTCTCCTCTCTTCTTTCTCTTTCCCCTCGGCTCTCACAGTCTGAACTTTCTTTTCACCATCGTCCACCCACCTTTCTGGCC